CCCCAAAACCCCAAAACCCCAAAACCCCACAAATCAGACATTTGAACTTGAAACTGATTTAAATTGATATTTTATCACTAATTAGGGTAATTAAACCCACTATTGTGTTTATGTTTTACTCTCATTACAACTTCTTGTTATCTCTGGCTCTTCTTTCCTATACCTCATCACATACTTTTTGCCAATCAGTTCTTAGAATTAGGACATAGTAGAAAATGAAGTTGAATATGATAGCCACTGATGGACCTATCCAAAGTCCAACAATACCACCAGAGTGATAGAACACAGCATCAATGGATATGGGGATACCAAGTACCCAATACCCAAAAATAGTGACATAGGATGCTTCTCCTTATTTTCCAAGTCCTCTAATAACACCTTAACCGACTCCTTAAACACAATCAAAGAACACAAAAATAGAAATGATATTAAATGCTCTAAGAATAAGCTCATTAACTGATACTGAACTACTGAATATACCAATAACTTAGCCTTAGAGAAGATTTATAAATGCAACACTTGCTAATGCCCAAATGAAAGCTGACAGAGTGCACATTTTTGCGTATAATTTAGCTCCATTAGGGTTATTAGCACCAATCATATTTCCAACTAATATAACTGATGAGATTGATAGTCCAACTGGGATCATATAAGTAAGTAGCCCGATATTTCTTAGCACAGTTTAAGCAGCTAGATCATCTACTGACATATAACTCGCAATCAAAGTGAAAATATCGAAGGCCCACCAAGACCATATTCCCAGAGAGGCACATTGTAAACTCAATACAAATTAAGGCCAAAGATCGTTTTTGCAATTGGGATCCCAAATTGAAACTAAACTTGCTCTTAATCTTTCACTTTTAGCAATAAGTACTACATAAACTAAGAATCTTAAGAAGAAATGAATGCAACTAGCAATAGCAATGCCAAACATGCCAAGATCGAGGGTTATTGCTAGCAGGTAAGCTAAGAAGAAATGAATGATTGATGAAAAGATATTTGAGACCATTCCAAATCTAGTCTCTCTGTGTCCAGAGCAGAATCTACCAAGACAACTTCCATATGTGAAAAATAATATTCCAGGTATACATACTCTCACATAAATAGCAGCCTATGATGAAATGAATGGATCTTGACCAAAGTAAAGGAATCCATATTCACAGAACCATAGTGGAATTGCCAAGGGAATATAAACTAGCGTTGTTAAGTAAAGCTATCTGTTCAAATAGATTCCACATAATCTAAAGTCCTTTTAGCCAAAGGCCTGAGATATTAATGTATCTAGAGATCCACAGAAAGATATGCCAACTGATAGCAGGAAGATGCTAATAGTGAGACCACCTAGTCCGAGCGAAGCAAGTAGTCTAGGATCCTCATCATGCCCAAGGATAATTGAATTGCAAATGTGATAGGCAGGATGGAAGACCATACCTATGATTGGATAAATGGCTAAACTAAATATTTTCTTCATTGCACTTGTCATTGTTAAATCCTAATCCAACTTTTGAGTTTAAGCAGTTGCTTTGGTATCTGGATTAATCGATGTTTGTTAGTTTCTCTCCTAATCATTGTTTTCTCCCAATAGTGGCTCTTTCAGAGATTTTCTAATTGTTTTTTAATCGTCCATTTGAATCCAGAAAGCAATTAATTTACTAATTTAATTAGTACCAAAAGTCAAATCAACGACTGCTGCCGCCAAAGTTTATTAAATACTTAACTTAATTTCAAATACTTTATTTCTTATCTACTTAGAATTTGCTTATATCAAAATTACAACTAATGCCTTACGGGGTTTTGGGGTTTTGGGGTTTTGGGGTTTTGGGG